GGTCTGTAGCGCTCAGCGAAAAGCAGATCACACGGTGCGAACTACACAGTTCAGTTCAGTTCTTGCAACTACTAACCATGCACTTGCGTGCGCCAGTTTTGGTTACTGCCTTTCAGTGCCCCATTCAGATGAAAGAGCAGAATGAAGATTGGAATATTGAGAGCAAATTCAAGCGAACGATAGAGAATTCACTTAGACCGATCACCTATTTTTATTTTGTTCCCTTAGTGGCCAAATCTCTCTGTACCGTAAAGCAGCACTGGCCGACCTGTTGCAACATATACTTGACCCTTCACAGACAGCCGGATTCCGCGACGGCGCCAAAAATGTTTTCATTTGGAAAATGCCAATCGTGCCTTTTGTATGCGCGCCGACACTTCATCTGTGATGCGTCCACCGGGTGAGATATAGCTGCCCAGATAGCAAAATTTGTCTATTTTCTCTACTACTAACTACCCAGTCAGTGTGAGGTTGCGCGCTGGGCCAAACTAAACTTGTAGTAACATTTTACATTTTGAAAGTGCAAAACGCATACCGAACATGCCTACGCTAGCATTCAAACTATCCAGAAAAGCTTGCAACTTACCTGCTGGATCTTCACTTGGCAGTACAATGCCATCTGCATACTCTAGCTCAAACAGCCTGCCACCTGGAAGTGAATCGATGCCACTATCCTCGCACGAGGATAGGGCTGTTTTCATAATGAAATCTATAATAAAGTTAAATGGAAAAGGAGAGAGAGAGCAACCTTGTCGAACATCACTTTCTGGAGTGAACTCTGGTGAAAAGGTGCCGTAGGCTTGATCTCGACTTTGGCTATTGGTATAAAGGGATTGTAATATTGAAATTAACTTTTCGGGGACACCCTTCAGGGAGAGAGACAGTGACTGAATCGAAAACCGCTTTCAGATCGAGGAAGATGCAAACGGTGGGTCTATGAAAGGAGTATCTGTGAACTACGCAATCAACTACCGATGTTGTACTCACTCACCTTGGAAAAAGCCGAGAATAAAACGAGCACAGACAAACAGATTGTACACGGTTGTCGCGTCTTGTGAGATAGATGGAAGATAGATGAACGCGATTGTTGTCAGTGACCAGATTGAAGATGAAAGACAGATCACCACTTCGCCCCCCAGTCGATCACTCAGATAGCCAGCCAGATACTGCGTGAGTGCATAGCCCCAGAAGAACACACCCATGATTAGACCCTAGAAAATCAAGGGTGACAATAGAAATTAATTGATTAATAATACATAATAAAATTCCCTATAAACAAATGACAATGTGTAAAAACATGAGGGAGGCGATATATATATACATATGCACATATATAAACTGAAAACCGTGAGGATAATACTCAACGGGAGCAATAAAGCGTCAGACATTGTTTACAAATTGGACAAAACAGATTGGGGTGATGATAACTGAAAACAAATTGAAAGTGTAAACGAGAGAGAGAAAGAGAGAGAGTAACAGCGTCAGGTTAGAGCAGACTTAACTTTGTGCCCGCATTTTTGGAACGATAGCGCCACGTACAAAGCACATGAGCATACAGACACAATGGTTATTCATCATTGTCCACGGTACTGTAATAGTACTGTGAACCTCCGGGGGCCCTTAATCACGTCTCACGTCTGTGAATGCGGTGATAGCGGGACACGTGAGCATGGTATGCACCATTGTGGCCGACCAACGAGAACACGCGGTCCATATGTAGGCACATACACACACACACACACACACGCACACACACACACACACACATACACACACGAGCGCGAAAAAGTGCATACCAAAATAGTAGAATATTGTATGAAACAATGATAACCAGTCGTGTACCGCGCACTACCGCATTTCACGGGTTGATCAAAATTGTATTGGGATCAGTAACTGCACTGAAAAAGGTGTGTAATGATATGCAAGATGTCTGCTGCAGCGACATTTCTTTCGCATATCATCAGTCACTTCATGCGAATTACCAATGGACATTATATATGTTCATAGGGTATGGTAACAAATAGATTTACAGGCGAGATTCATACTTGTTCACGAGATAGTGCAACTAGGTTACCAACGCTTTTGGCAATAGAAATGGAGAGAGAAGGCAACCCTGACGAACACCACTTTCCGTGGTGAACTCGGGC